AGCTTAGACCTAGAGCACTGGGCTACTGTTGTGCTTCTGACTGGGCTAGGGGTGAGGTGCACAGCACACAACAGTGGCCTGCTTCCAGGGCACAGATGTCATCTGGGATCCAGAGTCAATATGGCACAGGAACAACTCGGGCCCAGAGTTGAGGCCACATGGTCGTATCACTGGACCCCGGAGTGATGGTACATTGGCAGTGCCCCAGTGAGCACAGAGCTGTGGCTTGAAGCTTGAGGGCCAACGATCAGGACAATGATTCCTCTACCATGCAGCCCAGCAGGAGGCTTTGGCAGCTCAGACTTCAGAGATTCAGTTCAGTTTTAAGGAAGCAGGGTGCTACCGCTGTTTGGTCTGGAGGGCAGGAGGTGACAGTTCACCGGCACTGTTTCCTCGGGACTGAGCTGGCCCTTCAGCTCAGCCCCAGGTGGTACAGACTTGGCTCAGCCAGACACTGGCTCCCGGTGAGGCAGGGCACCAAGTCAGCTCAGGTGCTGGATGGGGTGCACAGTGCTGACTTCTCCTATGGAGTAGCTCACTAGCTCAGCAGGGGGACCCCACTTATGGCTTAGTGCCTATAAGGACTACGGGAGTCCTCTGTGGTAAGAACTTCATGTGACCAAGTTGGTGAAGGTGTGGCATGGCCCTCCTGGCCACTGTCCCTGCAGGAAGGAGTATGTCTGAGTTGATCTTGACTAGAGTTCCAGGCAGGGATGCTGGGGCCAGGTATGTCCTTCCTCTCACTATGTGTTTGCCCCGAATGTCTGTGCTCTGGCACCCTCATTTTTTTTAATCAAAATATAGTTATATACTTGTGGCCTTGGCTGTCTTTCAGGGTACACTTGGTAGGGGCATGTAGTCAGCCATCTTGCTGATGCCGGTTGTCATTGGCTTTTATTGAATATTATCATAATGAAGTTCTACGTGTTATTTGTCCGGTTGAACCGGGGGTTCCTTAAGTATGGTCAGCCTCTCTCTTACCTGAGTCAGCTGATGCTCCATCAATGCTCGTTAAATGAGCAGCTGCACTCCCTAATGAGATAATTAGCTCACTGGACACGAACAGCCGAGCAGCCCCTTCTGGAGGACGGATCGCCTCTGCATGTAACAGGGAGTGATTTGGGCTTTGACGATGGCTAGGGCCTGGTGCTCCAGCGATTTCTAAAGCCAAGTACCTTCTTCTCTCTTTGTCAGCTTCTGTGGAGTTGACTTTAACAATTCCTCCATGAAACATCTAGATAGACGTAGGGCCACTGTTGGCCATCAAATACAGGTTATAGAGTATTGTGGAACCCAGGGCATGTTCAGTGGCTAATGATTCTGTCTATGTAACGATGCTGCCATGTATCGTTACTCTAAAGCAGGGCAGGCAGACACATTGCTCTACGAAGGGCCTGGTATATACTCGTGAGCTTTGTTATGGCGCCCGTGAACAACTAGACGATAACACTCTGTTTATGAGACCAGGCAGTGAACCAGTTTGTGCTGCCCGGCCCGGGGTTGTTTGCACCTGTTCTAAAGCTGTATGTGTTCTTTAAGAACTACTGCCCAGGCATGGAGGCACACACCTTTAATCCAGACCTCAGGAGGCAGAGACAAGGAGATCTCTGTGAGTTTGAGGACAGCCAGGGGTTCACAGTGAGACTCCGGCTCAGCTCAAAGAAAAAAAGTTATTCATAATTAAATATGTTCTTTGGTGTGGGGTTGTATTTCAGTGATTGCCACATGTTCAGGGCCATGGGTTCCATCTCCAGCAGTATAAAACATTAATGTGTTCATTTTTCCTCTCTTTCCCTGCCCTTTTATCTAATAAAAGGATTATCTTTTTTTTAAAACAAGACTGCTTTTCTCAGTCGTTTTAAAAGCTATACATGGCCAGGACAGGCAGGAGGCCATAAAGGATGGCTATGTGGGAAAGCAATATAGTCCCTTCTCAGGTGTGTTCAGCTCTGCCTCATTACCTGTCCTTCCCGCTGCTACCCATTCAGTCCTCAGGGCCATGGGACCCACATTGTTGCTCACTCCAGCCAGCAGGACACTGGGGCCACGTCAGCGAGCTTCTGCATGCTTCTCTTCCTGTCCCTTCAGTCTTCATCTAGTGGTGACTGTCATCCTCAAAACGCCTCAGAACCTTCCCAGAGCCCTCCAGAATGCTCAGTTCAGCCTGTAGCTGGCAGCCTTGATAGCTACCCCGTTCCCACCTACCTTCTCAGTTGTCTTTGTTCCGAGTCAAAGCATCACCATGAGGCTGAACAAGCCAGGGCTTCCCAGCTTTCTGCTTCCCTCCCCCATGATTAGAGACCTGTGTTAGTCTGGCTAGCAATTCTGCTGACTTTCTTTCCAAAAGATTGCAAAGATGTCAGTTGCCAAGCAACACACATGTCATGGCTGCTTCCAGCCATATGGACTCTTTTTTAAAAAGCCACAAATATTTGTCTACAACTGTATCCCACATGTGGACGGTGTGGAGTACAGGACAGCAGACTAATGGAATGTTGTATCGTGTTATTTGACTTAGGATCTTTTCCTGAAGGCTTACTCGGAGTCATATGGAGAGCGGGAAGTGTGTGCCTTTGGCCACGTGTATTGATGAGCAAGACTTCCCACAAAGAACTTTAGTTTAGTCATCTGTGGGGGGACATTTGTAAATCCCGTAGTTGCACACTGCCTACTTGATAAAATTTCTTTGTCATCTCCAAGTCAATATTCCTGGTGTTTTCATCTTGAGTAAAGGACAGTGCACAGGGTAGGGAAAATTTTGAGTCCCTGACACACGTGTTCTCCACTGAGATGTGACAGGGTGAATGCTGCCTTCTGTGCTTCGGATCGTTTTAGGCTTCCTGTCCATGAGTTCACTGTTTCAAATGATTCCCCAGCATGGCACTGAAGTGTTTTCTAATAGAATGAAGCACAGAGAGGATGCACTGTTCATGGAGAAAATAGGAATGTTCGATAAGCTTCATCTGGGTCTGAGTTAATGTGCTGTTGGCTGCAAGTTCAATGTCAATGCATCGACAGTATGATACAGCCAGAGAGAAGGAGGAATTTGCTGACTGTAATGTCAATGCATCGACAGTATGATACAGCCAGAGAGAAGGAAGAATTTGCTGACTGTAAATGAAGCCACTCCTGAAATGGTGAAGGTCACATCTACAGTTCATGATGAAGCTATGAAAAGATGAAGAGGCTGAATTGTAGACTCATCAGCTGCTGAACAATTAAAGAGAACAGTGAGCGGTGCCATGTGAGACTGAAGATCAGAGACATCTACTGTCACATCTCTCAGGCCCAGGGGATTATTGGACACTCTTGATAGTATTTGATCATAAGGAAATATTGTATAAACATTATTATTTGTTAAAAAATCCCAGATATTAAATAAGGTACCTTTCAATTAGAAACTTTACTTAAAACAAGGTGACCTATGGACAGTTGACCAAATTGTCTTTCCCAAAGAAGTTCACGGGAATCCAAACATGACTCTGCCAGCCATGGCTCATGTCCCATGATTCACTGCTCATGGTACTTTATAGTGTGTAACTGCCATGAATTTTAAGAGTTGACTGCAGATGGTTAGAGCCTAGTCCAGATGGAATCCCTCTTTCCCTTTCTGTGGCTCACTCAGGTATACCATCTTTTCTAAGTGTCTCTCAGGACTGGGCCTGCACCTCCCTCCCGAGACATCCCTGCATGGTATACTTTGAAGGGGGTTCAATGTATCAGAGACCCCCAAGCCCCCCTTTTTTCACCACTTCTATCCCTGATTATTTTGCCATCTTATATTTATAAATTGCTCTGGAGCTGGGACACAGCAGCTCATCATTCCCAAATAAGCAACTTAATTGGTTCTAGGTATGAACAGAAACTATTATACCACCATCTCTCCCTCCTGAAGCCAGACATAAGCCATATGAAAAACAAACAAACAAACAAACAAAAAACCCGTTCTCTGATGACAGTGCTCAGCTTGACACACAAAGTCTGCTGAGCTAGACGGACCTCTCCAGGGGATGCTGCAGGGACATGGAGTTGAGGAGGACTCCTCCCATCTGAGCAGGAAACACAGCCATAGGAACCCCAGAGAGTGCCCCAGCCTTCCAGATGGAGTGCTCCAGGGATGAAATGGCATTTCACCCAGTGAGTGCCTGCATGGAGAGGATTCGGGAAGCAGAACCCTTTCAAAAGCAGGGCGGGATCTCGCTGGAATAAGTCCAGGGATGGAAAAACACAAACCATTCCTTCAGGTCAATTCTTAAGCCTAGAAAGCATCTGAAAAGCCCTGGGCCTTGTTATCACTAACCAAGATAGTGGTTTCACATGGCAACTAAGTTCCCAGAGGAAGCCTTTCTAGAAAGTTCTGCTTTCTGTTGCTAAGTGACCATTTGGGCTGTGTCTGCGTTTTTCTACTTATCGGGAATACCGATGTCTTTTCCTTCAGTGATACTGGGTACAAATAGCAGAGATGGGAGACAAGGACAGTAGCATGCCTCTATGCTAAAAATTGATTTTGTATGTGTTGTAAACACACGGGGCTTTAGTGCAAGTTCATGGGTCGTGCTTTTTCTGTGATGGGGATTGCCTGTGCGCAGAAGCTTGCTGAGCAGGACTATGTGTGCAGATAGCACGCCAGATCACTGGTCACAAAGCCATTTTCTCCTGATCCCCTCTCCTTGTTTCTATTCCCAGGCCTCATTATGTGCGATGTCATAGGCACACAAACAGCCACACTAGAACAGCCCATTGTGGCCAGGACGGAAGTGCCAAGGGAGGTGTTTGCATGAATCCCATCCTTGGAGTTAGAAGCACTTGCTCAGCTGCCAACTACAAATAGCCCCATGCTGCAAGGCAATGCTAATTAGTATGCCATTAAAAAAAAAAAAAAAGAGGAAGAAAAACCACCACCCACAACCAAATAGCCACGCACGAACCTGAAGTCCTGCCCTGACAGCCAGCATGAGGCATGGCCCACTAATGCAGCCTTAATCCACTTTGTTTGGCAGGGAGAGCAAGCTCACCATGCTTCTGAGGGAGTCTCTGGGGAACGTGAACTGTCGCACCACCATGATCGCGCACATCTCGGCTGCAGCTGGTAGCTACTCGGAGACCCTGTCCACCATCCAGATCGCATCGAGAGTCTTGAGGATGAAGAAGAAGAAGACTAAGGTAAGGGACGCTCTTACGTGGGGGGGAGAACACATTGGGGGTGCGAACTGAATCCCAAAAGCCAATCAGTATCACCCTCCTCCGAGCACCAAGAACTGGGCAGATGTGGCTGCCGCAGACAACCGTCTCAGAACAGAAAAGCCTTCTGACTAACGCCGGAGAAACTTGAGTCTCCTTTTCATGGTTGATGCTGCCCTGGCTCATCCATCCTGACCCCTGACAGGGACGACTTTAGGACCTTGCCACAAAAATGTTAGAGGGGTGGGAAGGAATCAGTCGTCTCTGAGGTCCTGCATAGGTGAGGACCGCGTCCAGTGAGCTGGCTCCAGGAAGGATGGGTAACGCCTCACTCATGTGGCTCTGCGACCCCTGCATGTCCAAAAGCCGCCAGGCTGTGGGTTCTCACGCTAATCTTCTGGAGGCTGCATGGTGCTGAGCTGATAGAGGTCGGTGGTAGGTTCACTGCCTTGGGCAGGAGCAAAGCCAAAACAGCAGGAAAATGGCGAGAATGTTTGGGAAGAAAAAAAAATTATGGGCCAACTAGTGATGCTTGGGGCTTTCTCCTTCCCTCTCCTTTGTATACTCCTTTTATGTATCTAAAAGGCAAGGCTTCATGGTCAGTGTTCTGAGGCAGGGGAATAGCTTTGAGGAAGTCAGGTGGGGCCTGGACAGGTCACCACCTTTCCCAAGCAGACTAATTCACCAGTGTGCAAATGGGGGTTATCTGTGCACACAGACTCATGGAATGGGACTTGGGGGGTGGTGTCCCGGCCCAGCCCAGTAAATCCTAGCCCCTCCACAGGCTGATCTTCCAGAGCCTAGCGCCAGTCAGCAGCTTGCACCTGCCGAAGGACATGGGCTCCTTAGGAGGGAGGGCCGTCTCAAAAGAACTCCCCATTAACGATTCTCTCGCCCACATTGCAGTACACCTCGAGCTCCTCTGGGGGAGAAAGCTCCTGTGAGGAGGGCCGAATGCGCAGGCCCACCCAGCTGAGACCCTTTCATGCCCGGGCTTCCGTGGATCCCGAATTCCCTCTTGCCCCGCTGTCCAGCGATCCCGACTACTCCTCCAGCAGCGAGCAGTCCTGTGACACCGTCATCTACATCGGTCCCAACGGCACGGCCTTGTCGGACAAGGAGCTTACTGACAATGAGGGGCCCCCCGACTTCGTGCCCATTGTACCCGCCTTACAGAAGACCAGGGGCGACAGCCGCCCTGCGGAGGCAGCGGAGGCTGCAGCCAACACGTCGGAAAGGGACTGTCTGAAGTGCAACACGTTTGCTGAGCTGCAGGAGAGACTAGACTGCATCGACGGTAGCGAAGAGCCCAATAAGTTTCCCTTCGAAGAGCTGCCCATCCAGTTCGGGCCAGAGCAGGCAGGTAGATGTGTTTCCTTAAGTCAAGCGGCAGGGCCAGATCCGCTCTCTGAGTCTGACAAGGAAGATAATGGGCCAGACAACGGCCAGTTGCCCGCCGACAGGGAGAGCACCGAGCTTCCGGCCTCCAAGGTGCAGCAGAATCGGTCCCCTGTGCCTACTGCCGCACGCAGCGGTAGCCGCAGCGGTAGCCCCAGCCCGGCCTCACCTCGGAGCATCCCGGGCAGCAGCAGCCAGCACAGTACCTCCCAGCTCACACAGAGCCCCAGTCTCCAGAGCAGCCGGGAGAGTCTGAACTCATGTGGCTTTGTGGAGGGCAAGCCCAGACCCATGGGCTCCCCACGGCTAGGCATTGCCAGCCTGTCCAAGACCTCAGAGTACAAACCCCCCAGCTCTCCCTCCCAGAGGTGCAAAGTCTACACCCAGAAGGGTGTCCTGCCTTCCTCTGCTCCACCACCTTCCCTGAGCAAAGACTCTGGCATGGTCTCCAGTGAGTCCTTGCTTCAGCCCGATGTGCGTACTCCCCCGGTTGGAATGAGTCCCCAGGTTTTGAAGAAATCCATGTCTGCCGGGAGTGAAGGGTTTCCCAGAACCCTGGTTGAAGATGAGCACCAGGAAGGTCCTCCTGCAGACTCGAAGAAGGAGGTTCTGAGCACCACGATGGTGACTGTGCAGCAGCCACTGGAACTGAATGGGGAGGATGAGCTGGTGTTTACATTGGTGGAGGAGCTGACCATCAGCGGGGTGCTTGACAGTGGACGCCCCACCAGCATCATCAGCTTCAACAGTGACTGCTCCGTGCAGGCCCTGGCCTCGGGCTCCCGGCCCGTCAGCATCATTAGCAGCATCAGCGAAGACCTGGAATGTTACTCCAGCATGGCCCCCGTCTCTGAGGTGAGCATCACACAGTTCCTGCCCCTCCCCAAGCTGGGCCTGGATGAGAAGGCTCGGGAAGCTGGCAGCCGGCGCTCCTCCATCAGTTCCTGGCTGAGCGAGATGAGCGCAGGCAGTGACGGTGAGCAGTCGTGTCACAGCTTCATAGCGCAGACGTGCTTCGGGCACGGGGAAGCCATGGCAGAACCCCCGGCCTCGGAGTTTGTCAACACCATCCAGAACACTGCCGTGGTATGCAGAGAGAAGCCGGAGGTGGGCCCCGACAATCTGCTCATCTTGTCTGAGATGGGGGAAGAATCTGTCAACAAAGCCACTCCCATCCAAGGCTGCAAAATCTCCACCCTGGGCAAGGCCATGGTCACCATCTCCAACACGGCCAACCTGAGCAGCTGCGAAGGTTACATCCCCATGAAGACCAACATCACGGTTTACCCCTGCATTGCCATGAGCCCCCGAAACGTGCAAGAGCCTGAGTCCCCCGCTGCCACCCCAAAGGCAGCCCCCAAAACAGCCCAGTCCCAGGAGAGCAAGGAAGCCAATGCAAGGAGAGAGATGAAATTTGAGGATCCCTGGTTAAAGCGAGAAGAAGAGGTGAAAAAGGAGAGCGCTTACCCCAGCGAGGAAGGGGTGAGGTGTGAGACCGTCACAAGCTCCCTGACGGCTGAAGGTAAGTCAGAACAGGAGAAGCATGGCAGGCCCAGCTCAGGCGACAGGCTGAGCTGCAGCAGTGGAGAGGCATCTGCCGTTCAGGTGACTGACAACATTAGGAGAGTTGTGGATGGCTGTGAGATGGCCCTGCCCAGCTTGGTGACCCAAAGTCCCATACATCCCAACAAAAATCTAAAGTCAAGCAGCCTCCCAAGGGCATTTCAGAAAGCCGACAGGCATGAGGTGCTGGACAGCTTCTACCATTGCCTGGCGGACAGCAATGGCTTCAGCGGGGCGCTGGGCATTCCGTCCTCGAAGACAACCCTGGAGAGGAAGGTAGCTTCACCCAAGCATTGCGTCCTGGCGCGGCCCAAAGGGACACCACCTCTGCCTCCTGTCCGCAAGTCTAGCTTGGACCAGAAGAACAGGGCCAGTCCTCAACACAGCGGCAGCAGCAGCAGCACCAGCAGCCCCCTGAACCAGCCAGCTACCTTCTTGGCTTGCTTCCCTGATGAGTCCAACAGCAAAACTAAGGATGCCAGTAGCAGCAGTAAGCTCTTCAGTGCCAAGCTGGAGCAGCTGGCCAGCAGAACCAACTCTCTTGGCAGGACAACAGTCAGCCACTATGAATGCTTGTCCCTGGAAAGGGCGGAAAGCCTGTCGTCCGTGAGCTCCCGCATGCATGCAGGCAAAGATAGCACCATGCCTCGCACCGGCAGGAGCCTGGGTCGCAGCACAGGGGCCTCGCCCCCCAGCTGTGGCATCACCCAGTCTGCAGGGACCTCTCCCAAGGCCAGCCAGTCCAAGATCTCCGCGGTAAGCAAGCTCCTGCTGGCCAGTCCCAAATCCCGCAGCCTGTCCACCCCGACCACCAAAACCCTCAGCTTCTCCACCAAGTCCCTGCCCCAGTCTGTGGGCCAGAGCTCCAACCTGCCACCCAGCGGGAAGCACATGTCCTGGTCCACCCAGTCGCTCAGCAGAAGCCGGGGCTCTGGCCTGGCTTCCAAACTGCCCCTGCGAGCCGTCAACGGGCGCATTTCGGAGCTGCTGCAGGGCAGTGCGGGCCCGAGGGGCGCGCAGCTGCGGGCAGAGGCAGAGGAGCGCAGTGGAGCGCCCACGGAGGACAAGCCTGCAGCTGCCCACCTGCTGCCCTCACCCTACAGCAAGATCACCCCTCCCCGGAAGCCTCACCGCTGCAGCAGCGGGCATGGCAGTGACAACAGCAGTGTCCTGAGCGGGGAGCTGCCACCTGCCATGGGGAAGACCGCCCTGTTCTATCACAGCGGCGGCAGCAGCGGCTATGAGAGCATGATCAGGGACAGCGAGGCCACCGGCAGCGCCTCCTCGGCCCAGGACTCCATGAGCGAGAACAGCAGCTCCTTCGGAGGGAGGTGCAGGAGTCTCAAGACCCCAAAGAAGCGCTCCAACTCAGGTAGGTACCGGGCATGGGCTGGGAGGACAGAGGCATCGGCTTCTGGGACCTCACCTCCCTTGTTATGCCGCCATGGGGGGGGGGCGGTCCAGGCACTGGAACTGGAACCCTGTGCTCCCTTTCCTCGATGTCCTGCTGCCAGAGGCCTTGGCTGAGGACATAATCCCCAGAGACTCTCCTGAAGGCCCGGGTGGTGCCAGGGGATGCTAGCTGTGGGCGTGTCAGGAGCGAGTTCATTCTTGCTTGCTCTGCCTGCCCTCACCTCTGCCTTCACATGTGCGTATTTCTAGTCAAAGGCTGAGAATACTGCTGTCCAGAGTGTTCTGAGGGATCAGTCAGACCCCCTGCCCTTCTGACTAGTGGCTGTAGAAGCCTGTGTGTGGGGCTGGTGGCCTCCGAGGCTCTGGAAATCTCCCTCGTGGACATGGGGCACTTCATCTCATTGGAAGTGGGATGGGAGAGGGTTTTTCTCCATTCCCACCCCAAACACACTGGTGACTGTCATAGACACAAAACAGTCACAGGTCTCCTGCAATGCCTCTCCCTAAGTGTTAGGCAATACGTGCCCATACTCTGTGCTGTTCACCTGCTTGTAGGGGACTCTTTGCCATTTCCAGAAACATGCCGTCAGAAGGTACCTCACATCTGAGCTACTGATGCGTTCCTTGGAGATAGGGGTGGACACGTGACAGTAAGTTATGCTGGGTGAAAAGAAGGTCAGAGCTGGTGGCCCAGGTACCATGGAGCACATGAGTTCAAAGGACAGCCAGGAGGGGTGGGCAGAAACCAAGGCAAAGGTACCAAGAATAATTTAGTTATCATGAGAAACTATCTGAAATACCCATCCTTCACTATTTGCTAAAGAAATTGTCCCTATCAGTTCCTCAGTGCAGGAACTTCTGATGTTTTTTCTTAATGAAACAAAATCATTTGCTGTGTACACTTCTGAATCTCTGTTAAATGAGGACAGCAGGGGATAATGTCCTGATGTCTGTCCTGCCTGTTCGCTGTCCTGTATGCCCTGCCAGGCTCTGCAGTCAAGAGCTTTCTAGATCCTTTGCCCTGCATGGCCGTGCCACCAGCCCAGTCAGGATTGAGAGATGGGGTGACAGAAATCGTCCATGGGCTTTCACTCCCTGCCATGGGATTGGTTTGCCTGTTTCCAGCCAGTCCTAACCCCGAGCTCTGCAAGGGACCAGTCCACACAAGGGCTGAGATCAATGCCCATCATAAACCATTTGTCTTCCTGGGATCAACAAATTCAATCTCAATGGACAGTGTGGGCTTGTGGTTTCCCATCACCATATGCCATGATATAGAGAGGCCCGTTCGTCTGTCCAGCCCATTGTAGATCACAGCATGAGGCATCAGTGGGGGCACCCCATTCCGGGCAGGCTCAGGCACTGCCATGGCTGCCACTCGTGTGGTATCTGCACCCCTAGCTGTGTGTTTCCAAGTCTGCCGTGCTCAGACTGAACTCTGACTTCATCCCCGTCTCAGGCTTTGTAGAAGACCCCCATGTAAGGCAAGGTGACAAGTGACAAGTGCTTGGTGCAACAAGGCAGCGGCTGTGGCCTGTCCCCGGGGCCAGGGGCCCCGAAATGCACTGGTATTAGTTACCGAAAATAACAAAATATTCATGTGCACCAGCCTTCGTGGAAAGTAGATATGCTAGCCTTCCTAGTACTTGATTGACAGGCACTGTTATCACTGCTCACTCAGTGTTGGTCTTCAGAGCCTGAACAGTGTAAGGCCTGCTTCAAGGCTCCCCTGTGTTTTCCTGGTGGAGTGTGTTTCTGTTTCCTAACTTAGCGTGTTGCTACCCCGATACTTTATTCTTCCACTGTCTTCAACTTTCTAGTCAAGGCTTCTTGATATATTTGTTTATTTATATTTACACTTTGGCTGATACTGGAGTGAAGCAGGGCAGCAAATGCACGAACTAGGAAGGGAAGCAAGGTGTACAGGACAGCTCGGAGAGAGGCAGTGAGCTCCGCACATGTCCTTGCTCAGGGCCAACTCCTGTCGTAACTGCTGCCCTCCGAGGGACTCCTCTTGGAAGGCTATTGAAGGAAAATGGTGTGCCATAAAAATGCCAGGGAAGGTGCTGGCGATGGGATTTAATATGGAGTGTCCCAAGCATTAGACCTCCGTGCTCAGCCACCGTAGATGGGGGGCCCGGTGATGGATACCGCGGGGAAGATGTGCTCGTTTCAGGTGAGGTGACCTTGTCTGGCTTATTTATGATTATTATTAAGAGAAATGCTGGCCGTCAGACGTGATCAACATAAATCACAAACAACTTCTTTAAGAGAAGCCAGAAGACTCCTCACGGGAGATTCCTGACTAGATGGCCAGTCCTCAGTCACCGGACGTGTCTGGGCTTTAGAATTCCAAAGGAGGCAGTTATATTTTATCTGTGATTGCTTTTGCATTTGGAGAGTTGCGATGATTTAGTTGCTTTCTTACTGAAAAAGAATTATAATTGCGGTGCTGGGAAATAACCATGAGCTCTCTGATTCCTGTGTGATGTACATGTAGCGGTAGAATTCATCAAACACTACTATCTGTCGCCACCGTTCAGGCCCCTTCCTAGAGATCCAGGCTGTTGAACAGCACATGAGATTGGGCTTGCTTACAGCATGGTGTGTTGAAAACAATTAAACTTGGGGCCATAGACTATGCGACTTTTAATTAGCCTTACTGGGCCTCAGTTTTCTTATGTACAAGGAAAATAGTGGGTTTGATAAATATTGGCTGTGGTCCTTCTGCTGGCCACAATATTATTCTAAAACTAAAAAAATAATAGTATGACATCTTTTCAGGGGAAAACCCTAGGTTAATGACCTTCATTTTTAGTTATTGTGTTAGACAGGTGTTTTTTTTAACTATAAACTGATGCCTAAGATGATCATCGTAAAAAGGAGAGAGGCTTATTTTATCCCCTGGCTTTAGTCATGACCAGCTGACCTTCGTGGTTTGGGGCCAGCAGGGAGTAGATGGTGGAGCAATGGTGCTTGGGAGCAAAAAGAGAGAAGAGTTGGGTTCCCATAATTCCATTCAAAGTCATGTCCCCAGCCACCCAAGACCTCCTACGACATCCCACCTCTCAAATGTTCTACCCCTTCCTAATAGTGTCACTCCAAACGTTGGCCTCTGGGACACCCATGATCTTAACTATGGCAGTTGTTGGCCACTTATCAGGCATTGTCTGTTGTCCCAGACAGAACTGGTGATAGGGGAGGATGGGCAGCCTCATGGAGTCTAAGACAACTGTGAGAAGTGTGACATATTCAGGGAGAGGAGAAATACCACAGATGACAACAGCAAACGGAGACATACTGCCGTGTGCGGGACCCATGCTGCAGAGCAGCCTGGAAAGTTCTTAGCCATTGGCAAGATCCTGCAAATCAAAGCACCGGAAGGCAGCTGTGGGGGAAGTCCTGTCTTGAAGGATTCTGATTCTTACACAGACAGAGTGGAGGGCTTTGGAAGCTGAGAAAATCAATCACGAGAGCCCAGGTTTGGAGCAGCAAGTGCATCACCCACTTGCTGCTTCATAGTGGGGTCCATTCAAGGGGAGCATTCTTAATGAGCACAGTGAGAGCCTAGAAAAGGTAAACCCAGGCGACATTGCCCCTTGACATGTGGGAAATGTAATAAGAGCACACAGATACATTCTATGCAGCTCTGTGGAACTATACTAAAAGCACATAATGTAGCGTCCTCAGCAATAGAGAGTCGTTATAAACTCTCAAGAGGAACTTGTGTGAGTGGATTTTCATTGATTCTTCACAGTTCCTAGCCAGCCCTCTGTGGTCGGCAGCACAAAACTGTGTAGCCTCAAGCTCTGAGTTAAAGTGAAGATAACCTGGCCCAGTGGGGAACAGTGTCAGCCAGCCAGTTAGGCATTTAAATTGCTAACAGGATTTATTCGTCACTGTACCAGGCCAAGCCCCGATTCTAACCCCACCACATCCCTCTGGATCACACTTGACTCTCTTGGGTCCCCTTTATCTCATCACCTGACGCCTTGCATTCCAACATCCACCGCGGGTTACCCTTCTGCCTTCTCTTTCTTGCTCACCTTCTGTTAGCTTGTCCTTCTGACAGTTGACAGGAACCTTGTCAGAAGGAAGTTCGTCCCTCTGCAGGGGGCCTGGCCTGTTGCCACCAGCATCCAGAAAACTTGGGGTAGAAGGAGAGGCTTCCTGAAGAGAAGTCATCCAAGGGAAGCATATTGGTTCTAAGCTCACACCCCTGCCTAGGCCAACCTGTTTGGTATCCAACACTGAGAAGGTGCAGGATGCCACTGGGTACCACTGATTGATTTCTTGATTGGTTGTTAGTTGTGGTTGGCAGTATTTCTCTAAAATGTGGCTCATGTTTCTTATCTAGGTCTTTAATATATATTGTTCTATTGGTGATAAGTGTTTTAAGCATTGAGCCTAGTCTAGTCTGTGAGATTTTTTGTTGTTTGTTTGTTTGGTTGGTTGGTTGGTTGTTTTTTTTTGTTGTTGTTGTTGTTGTTATGTGTAAAGATTGGCATTTGATAGGCCAGTCCTGTGGGTTACCATTTGCTGCCTATCATGAATTGAGCCCTGGGAATATTGGGTCCATTTCTCAGCACTACGCATGGCTAAGGACCCTCGATGAACTAGGAGCACCCCAGGTTGGCTCTGCTACTCACCTAGTTCCCCAGTGTGTGGCTTGATTTTATTTTAATGAGATCAAGAAACACAGTGACTAGAGGTATGATGGGAACGGAGGATGGGAGCTGAAGTTTGCCAG